CACCGGCGACCCCCCGGGGCGGGCGGGCAGGGGACCGGAGCTGTTGCCCCGACAGCTCCGAGCATCCCTCGGTGCCGGGGCTCTTTCTCAGCGCGTCCCAGTTCAGAAAAGTTTTTTGTGCCCAAAGTTGAGCTTAATAACTGCGGGAGAGCGGGCGTGAGGGATGCGGTGGCCGTGGGGCTGCAGCCTGGGTGCTGGGAGAGGGTCACCGTGGGGCCTGGCAAGGCTGCGAAACCCAGTTCGGCTTTAAGAAGTGGAGAGGGAGAAGGGGAAAGTCATGCAGCGAGGGTGGGCTGAGGGTTGGTGGGCTCGGGACCAAGCGGAGTCACCTCGGTGAGCTTGTCCCCAAGTTGCAATGAACTGGGATGCTTTCCCCCCCCCAAAATGCTATCCTCATCGTAACACAGCGGCAGGAGGCTGGAAACCTGGGGATGAGAGAGGCTTGTCCCGCTTTAGGGAGTTGCATTGCCCACCCTGCGCTCCCCATTTCGGTGGGCGCATGCGAACTGGTTGCAGAGCGAGCGGGGCACACAGGCGGGACAGCAGCTCTCCCGTGCCAACAGCAGGGTGGACCGAATTACCCGCGGTGGACCATTGAATCACGGTTCAAAATAAAATCCTCAAGGTTGCTAATTATTGCTGGAATCCCGTCCAGCTGGTTACTGAGCAATGCTGGGTTCCAGCCACCATCCTATTTCCAGGTGGTTGCGTGAGCGGCAGGGAAAGGAGGGCTATTTCCAGCCAGCATCAGTGGGACCACGAGCACTCGGGGTGCAAGGGGTCCCCCCCATGAGGGCAGGCACTGCGAGGGGGTTCTAAACCCAGCGGGATGCACAAATCCAGGCATTTGGATACGCAGCTTTTCTCTGCTTCTTCTCATTGCTTTAAGGGGTGTTGGGGTGTCCCTGTCCAGGCCAAGCACATTTGGGGAGCATTTGTGCAAAGGCTGAGGGATGAGTTGCGGGGCAGGGTGGGGGTTAGTAGGCACGGAGCAGCGTCCTGACCCATGAGCCGCAGATGTGGCCAGTGTCCTGGGCTCGGGAATGCCTTCCCAGCGCATGGCTGGATTTGGCTGCTGCACCGTGGTGTGCCAAAGGGCGTGCAATGGGCAGGTGCCTTCCCATGGCACCACCAGGGACCAGACAAGGGTCCCTTTTCTCCCCTGTACCCCTCCAGACCCCGCACAGGGTTCCCCCCCCCCAGCCAGTGCTCTGGGCATGGGGAGAAACCCTCCCTGGGGAGACCAGGCAGGGAGGGGATGTGCACCCTCGGGAGGAGGTATGGGTGAGGGAGGGCCGTGGATGTGTCTCCCAAGTCCTCTCCATCCATTCTTACATCCCCTATCCCATGTGTGGATGTAAAGAGGTCCTGGATCTCCCTGGGACAGACCCTGCGGCTCCGGGTGGTGGTCAGGGGAGCCCACGGGCACAGGCACCCAGCACCCAGCTCCCATCTAGAGCCCTTGGGGCTGGGGGGGCTCAGCATCCCAGGGAAGCTGAGACCAAGGGAGGCAGATACTGGGGCACAAAATCCCAGCTCTCCTCAGCACTCAAGACAACACACAAGCAGCAAAAAGTGCTTTAAAATGGCCAGGTTTGATGACAACCAGGGTGGGAAGTTTGGGGGGAGCTGGGGAGCCACCCGGGAGGTGTTGGTGCTGGCGCAGGGGTGCTGGCACCGCTCCCCTTCCCAGTGCTCCTGGAGCATCTGGGAGAGTAGGGAACAGAGTTCCAGCCTTCAATTTGAATGGCTTTGATTTCTGCGGCTTCGTCAGCCCCTTCATGTTAATTAAATAAATTTTTGTGGGAGAAGGCTAGCTTTCATTTACATGCATAATTTGCTGCACAATTACCCTGATGGGGCATGCAAATGGGGTAAGTCGGTGCTCCATTGGGCACTTGGACCTCTTTGCTCCCAGCCAGCCCGCGTAGCCCTGTGTGAGCCGGGCCGGAGCACGGCTCCCAACGGCACACCTTTTTCCTGGGAAGGGGAAATGACAAACCTCCCCGGTGCACAAACACGTCCTGGTTTGGGCAGGCAGAGCACCCTGCCTGCCTGCTGGCCTGGGCAGGTGATGGGGTTGGGGACAGCGAGGGCCTCCAGGCGCTGGGCGGCCAACCAGGCACCTTCGGTTGGGTTTGGTGATGATGGATCCACCCGTCCCGTCCTGCTCGCTGCCTCTTGGCGTGAAGATAAAACACTTCATGTAAGCCTGACCCATGCTATTTCTGTGCCCTAACTGAAGGAGTCAGGTGGGTTGTATTTTTAAGCCTGGGGTAAGGATGGGCTTTGAGATTTCTTCTCGGCCAGGGCTGAGCCACCAGCTGTGAGTCACGGTTACACGCAGGGTATAATCACGGAGCAGAGAGGTTTGTAACGGGAAGGCAAGGAGGAGGCTTGCAGCGTGCCCGAGCCCCCCGCGACCGCCCATCGGCACCACAACACACATGTCCTCCCTTTCCCTTCCCGGCGTCCGCCGCCATCCTGGGATGTGGCCGGACTGCCCCCGCGGCCGACGCGGATGAAGCGGTGGGATAGCTCTGCCCGTGGCCGGACATCTTTCTGGCAAACCCTGGCTTCACCGGGTGTGTTTCTTGGGAAGAGCTGGGGGAGGAAGGCAGGGCACCTTTGCAAAAAATAGCTGCAGTGCTCCGGGCGCTGCAAGGAGCCATTAGCGTGGGGTGGGAGCTCACGGCAACCTCTTTAATTTAGCCGGTGAGTTGGGGTGTGCTGCTCCGCTCCCCGCGCTGGCAGAGCATCGCCCGCTGCCGGCCTCGGTGCCCGGGCAGGTGCTCGCCTTTGCGCCCACATAATTAGCAGCAAAATCCAACTGCTGTCAGCAGCAGGGTCAGGATTTTCCCACTCCTGAGCTCATGTCGCAGCCGTTCGTGCCTCCTCCTCTGGGCATCCGCAGCGGCTCGGCCAGAAAACCCGGCACTGCCGAGCGACGTGCGGCAGCTTTTTCCGGCAGTGCGGGATGAGCCCGTGCAGGGGTGTCGGTGCTCTGTACGCACCTGCTGTGCATGTTTTAAATGGGAAAAGCTTTGCAAATAGAATCCTCTGGGGTCCACCTGTGACACCATGCTCTCAGCCGGCTGTTTGTGGGGCTGGGGGAGCGCGGGGGGGGATGCAAGCGGGGACCAAGGCTGCCTCACAGCCAGGCTGGGGGTTCCCGGTGCTGAGCCCCATGTCCTGCGGCTCCCGATGTTCATCTCGGGAGGATGGAGGAAGCGCTCGTGAGACAAAGTGGGAGCCTGGCAGAGGCTCAGCTGCATTTCATAGTACTTGGGATAACTCTTAAATCTCTCCCTGCTTTGGAAAACCTCCGGAGCTTATTTTTTCCTGCTTGCAAGTGAAGGATAGCATCTTCCTTGCATCTCCTTTAAACCTATTTTAGGATTCAGAGCACTTGATGTGGTTGAATATCCTGGCATTTCCTTTTAATTTAGTGTCTGGAATATGATCATGGGGACCATTGGGAGCAGCCAGGACCAGTAATTATGACTGATGCGCAGTTATAGAAACAGAGAAAGTTTACAGTGAAAAAAAGTGTAGCTAAAAATAACCTGGGGAGCAGGACGAAGGGCAGGCGGCCCCGGTACCCCACCTCTGGGAAGAGAACGGGAGCACGCAGGGGGACACAGAGGGGCTCAGCCCAGCTGGAGCTGGGCATCCCTGGACAGGGATTGCATGGCCCCATTTTTTTTTTTTTTTTTTTTTTGGGGTGGTGGGAGCACACAGCATAATCATGGCATTCAGCTTTGGGGAAAGACACAGCAGCTCTTGAGGGGAAGACGGTAAATGCCAAAGGAGGGGGCAAAGAGAGCAAAGAGCTTGGGTTAGGTTTTTTTAGTGTGTCTCATCTGCAATCCGGATAATCCGCCCACAGATAATTGAGGGTTGGCAGTGTGGCTGAGTCAACCCGCCCCGAATCAATAGCAGGTTCCCAGGCGCGACGGGCTCCTGGCCGGCCGGGGAGGGCCCATCTCCCATTCACACACACACACCCCCCCCAGCACCAGCAGCATTTTAGCACCCACTTTTCCACCTGGGCAAAGGGCACTGGGTGCTTTCGGGATGTGACATGTGCTCCCCTGCTGCAGGGTCATAATTTTGCAGCCATTTATAATTTTTCTAGAAAATACGGTGATATTAAACCTCCTCCAACCTGCTGATCATCAGCTTGGATTGCTGTTTGCTGAACACTGTGCAGCCGGTCCCATCCCCGTCACCCTCCTCTGCGGTTCTAACCCCATGTCAGCACAGGAGAGGATGCTTCGCCCTTGGTCCTGCTCCACGAAATGGAGGAGAAAGCAGGGATTCCTTTTAGTCTCTCATCCCAGATACTAGGCAGCTCACTAGTAAGTCCAGCTCATTTGGTTCATCAAGGTGCACACCTAATTGGGGTCGCTTTTAGTGTTTCTCATCCCTGGCCAGGGCTTTCCCTCCCCACCAGCTCACCTCCCTCTGCCTTCAGCTCTGATCTCCATCACCTCCGCAGCATACAGGTGCAAAGATTTCATAACAAACTGCTGCTTTAGCAAAGGTTTTCACCCTTCTCCAAGGCTGAAAAATCACCCCAGGGACTTTTTTTGTTTTGCTGGGTCCCTGTAACCTCCACGGCTCTGCCATAAAATTCCTCCTGCCCTTCCCCGGAGGAATGTCCACCCACAGCATCGCTTTGCCGAAGACACTTGGCCCGTGAAGATCGTGCTGGTTTCTGAGCCAGTATTTAGTCTGGTTGGGTCTCGCCTGATGCCAGGGAGCAAAGGGGTGACCCATGAAATATCCAGGTGACCAAAAATACTCAAAGAGACACCGCTCTGTACCTGGGTGTCCCCCAAACTGACCGCAGGACCTCCTGCTGGGGGTTTATGAGTGAAAAAAACAAAACGGGGTGATTCCTCTGGTTGCGTTTTGGGGGGATTTAAGGATTTTGCAAGAGCCGTGAGGCATCAGTGGCTTCGGCAGCGTCTTTAATGGCCCAGGAGCATTAAACCATCAGCGATGCGTTGGTGGAAGAAACAGAAAAGCAGAAAAGAGCCTGAGGGGCTGCAGTGGGGTCGGGGGGCTGGTGTCCCCCCACCACCGAGGGGGTGCATGGGCCGGATCCAGCTCCTCGCAGCATCCTCCTGCCCGCAGCTGGCCACTGGCCGGGCAGCCTCCCCGTGGGAGCAGGAAGTGTTCTCCGCATCCGCCCCTGCCCGCCTGGCCCTGGGCTTTTTTTATAACATAACTTGTGGTGAGCCTAGTAGCTTGAGGGAATGTGGGGTTTTAAAAAAGAAAAAAAAAAAAAAAAAAAAAAAAAAAAAAAAGGGGAAAAAAAGAAAGAAAAAAGGAAAAAAAAAGAAAGAAAAAAGGAAAAAAAAGAAAAAAAAAGACCTGTGAATGCATAATTAAAATCTCAGTGTTTGGAGAGATGCGCCACGCTGCTCCCCGCTAATAAATGGGGGTGGCAACTTTATGGTGTATTAAATTTGGAATGTTTTTCCCCCCCCCGGAATCAGTTAAAAATTGCATTTAAAACATGCATTTTAATTTATTTAATTATTTGTTTGTTTTATTTTTAAAAGTAAGCGCCAGGTCAGATTTGTTACGTTGCTTTTGTGCCTGAAGCAGGAGGAACTTTAATCACTTTAATTATATTCAGTCATAGCAGCTTGGAATATTTTTAAAGAACAATTTGAGGAAAATAATTACATATTAGAGAAACTGTGTGGGGCTGCATTACCGTAAAGAAAGACGGTGGGTTTTTTTCTTTATGGACGTCAAAAAAAAAAAAAAAAACCACCAGATTTTTCCTTTCCCAACATGCACTAGACTTCTGCAGAAAGTAGGTATTTTCAGTAAAAGGCAAGGTTTTATTTTTACAGAGCAGTGACCCAACAATCCCCCTCCTCAGTTTTTCGTAGGCTGCAAATCTTTACATTCCATCAACCTGAAGCTTGCAGGTGAGGGGACCTGTGATGCTCAGCGATGGCCCCAGCGAGCCCCAGGCTGTCCAGATTTTGTCCCCCGAGCACCTGCTACCAGAAAAGCTTGCAAAAAACCCAATTCCTGCTCCAGACGGTCTTGCTGACCTCCAAAACTCAGGGGTTTGGGTGGGTTTTTCACCCTTTGGAGAAGTGTAAAGAGCTGCAGCCCCTAAATCACAGGACTAGGGGCAGCTTTTCAGTGCTCCCACCGTAGCCAAGCCTTTGTGCTTTTTTTTTTTTTTTTTTAAATTAATAATGAAGACAGACAGCTGGGAGGCTGGTGAGTTTACAGCAAAATAAAGTCGGGGGCTATGTGCAAAAATAAAGGGCGGTTGCATCAAGATTAAAACTCTCAGGAGAGGAGAGATGGGAATATGCAGCAGCCAAGAGCTCAGTGGGGTGAGGGGCCCGGCGCCAGCAGGGTTTGTCCCCAAATTAGAGGCAAATCATGTCAGTGGGACTCGGTGGGGGGGCTGCAGGCTCTGATCAGCCCATCGGGGTGGCCGGTGGTGCAGCAAGGGCCACCGCAGCCCAGCACGACCCTCGCTGAGGCTTTTGCTCTGCAGTCGAACAGGACCGGGACATCTTCTCCCCAAAGCCGTACTGGAAGGAGTTCAGATTTGACCTGACCCAGGTGCCCACGGGCGAGTCGGTGACAGCCGCCGAGTTTCGCATCTACAAGGCGCGGGGTGTCACCCGCCACGCCAACAACACCCTCCATGTCAGCATCTACGAGATTGCTGCCGAGCACTCCAACAGGTGAGGGGGACGGGGATGGGGATGGGGATGAGGATGGAGACAGGGATGGGGATGAGGATGGAGCTGGGGATGGCAATGAAGTTGGGGATGGTGATGGCGATGAAGTTGGGGATGGCGATGAAGTTGGGGATGGCAATGGCAGTGAAGTTGGGGATGGCCATGAAATTGAGGATGGGGATGGGGATGAAGTTGAGGATGGGGATGGTGATGAAGTTGGGGATGGCGATGAAGTTGGGGATGGGGATGGCGATGAAGTTGGAAATGGGGATGTTGATGAAGTTGAGGATGGGGATGGTGATGAAGTTGGGGATGGGGCCCCCCCACAAGCACCAGCCCCAGAACTTTCCCTTCCCACTACCATGGAAACACTGAGGGAAGCAGCACCACCATGGCTGGCTGTTCCCACGCTTTCCCTCTGGGCAATGCTACACCCCAGCTTTTCGGCCAGGGCTGGGAGGATGCTTTTCCCAGGGCAGCTGCCACCATCATGTCTGGCACAGCCGGAGGCACCGGGAGCCACGGTCCTGACCTGGCTGTGCCGGGACCTGTATGGACACAGGCACCAAGGAGTCATTGCCGTGAATTATCGCTCGTGCTGGTGCCCTTCGGGTACTGTTACTCACCAGCTCTTTTCCCCCCCCATTTCTACAGGGAGTCTGACCTTTTCCTGCTGGATGTCCAGGACCTGCGTGCCGGGACCGAAGGCTGGCTGGTGTTTGACGTCACGGCCGCCAGCAACCACTGGTTAGTGGATCAGAAATACAACCTGGGGCTGCGACTCTACGTAGAGACAGATGATGGTAAGCCTGCCTAACCTACCTACAGCATTTGGGGCCAAATCCCCAGGAACTGTGCGTAGCCAAGGCACTTCAGGACATGGTTTAGTGGGCATGGTTGATGGTTGGACTCGACGATCTTGAAGGTCATTTTCAACCTAAATGATTCTATGATTCTATAACCAGAGTCCTCTCATCTCCCCTGTTGGTGCCACAGCAGGCGGTGGTGGGGTTTGTCTCCTCACTGCAATTTTAAATTTCCAGCTGTGATGGAGAACCCACGGGCGCCAGAAGTCGGCTGGGTTTGCAGGCAAGAAGCTTCCTAAAGGCATTCATGCTAATGGGGTTCCTGGTGTGGACTGTAATAACTCCATTAGCACTTAATGAACTCCTTACCTGGAGGGATCCTCGTGTGTTTGTGTGTGTGCGTGTGCTGGAGGATTAACCCTCTTCTCACTACGGGATCTAGTCTGCTTCAAAGAAGCATCTCCGCTCCCATGGAGGTGGGGATGACAAATGCCCCATCCATCCCCTTCCCTCCCAGCACACTGAGCTTTCCTCCCCAGTGGTGAAGGGGAAAATTGGTTGCTTGGGTCTCACTTGGTTTTAATCCTTGAATTGCTCTGCGTGACCATCGCACGGTGGCAGCCGTGCAGGGTGATGCCGTACCACCTCTGTAAGCTGCCCATCGTACACCCACCTGGGGGGCAAAAGCAGAGTGGGAGCCCTGGGTTGGGAGGGGGGGGGTCCTGCTGCTGGGGATGCTGAAATCACAGCTCTCCACTGCAAATTTCCTGTATTTTTTTCTCCTTGCTATAACCAAATGAGTTCATTCTGAGAGCAAACCAGTGCGTGGTCCCATCCCTGCAGGGCACAGCGTCGACCCGGGCTCGGCAGGTCTGCTGGGGCGCCGGGGTCCCCGCTCCAAGCAGCCCTTCATGGTGACATTTTTCCGGGCGAGTCCCAGCCCCGCGCGTGTAACACGGGCGGCCAAGCCCCCGAGGAGGCGGCAGCCCAAGAAGACGAACGACCTCCCGCATCCAAACAAGCTGCCGGGAATTTTTGGTAAGAGCTTTGCAGGGCGAGAAGTGGTCCCTATGGAAAACACCGGGCTCTGCTGCTGCCCTGATTGAGGGACATTCTGTTAGTAGCTTGCCCTGTCAGAAATCCCAATTTTGGCCCCAAGGGAAGCAGAACAAAGAGCTCTGGGTTTTTAGGATTGGGGTTGTTTGCAGTTCAGGAGGTGCAGTGGGTCTGGGGCAATGGTGTTTTGCAGGGTTTTCACCCTACCTGAATATTGGACTTTTTGCATCACTGCCTTTGGCTTTGAAGCCACCCTGGGAGGGCATCACCCCGGGAGGGTGTCACGGCCCTGGAAAGCTGTTCAGGCCGGAGGGGAGCGGGAAGCCCCAGCTCTCACAAACCCATTTAGCTTGGGAAACCCTTGAGGCCAACGGCTCTGTGAGCGGAGCTGGGATTTAGCCCTTCCCAGGCTGAATCCCCATGTGCCAGTGCTGGAGCAATAAATTTCAGGCCGGTCTGAAGCTTCTTTTCCTTTTGTGCAACAATGGAGGCTCCTCTTCTTTTGTTCTTTTGGACTAACCCTGATCATACGGGCTCTTCAATCCCACCCTTGAGTGGAGATGGCTGGGGAGGAGTGGGATGCTGGCACCGTAGGGCTGACGCTGTCTGTCCCCTTCTCCCACAGACGATGTCCATGCCACGGACGGGCGGCAGGTCTGCCGGCGCCACGAGCTCTATGTCAGCTTTCAGGACCTTGGTTGGCTGGTACTTATCTACTGGGAGAAATGAATGCAAAAAAAAGAAAATCCATCATTATTCCCCCCTCCAGGCTCGCTTCCAGCCTGGCTTCTCCTGCCCATAAAGCAATCTGTAAGCAGTGCGGGCAGACGGGAGCTGCCGCAGCCCCATCCTGGGAGCTGAGAAGGCAAACATGAACTGCCACAACCCCAAACCCCACCGGTGACCCTGAACAACTCATGGCTCAGGCTGAAAAAAAATCAAAATAAACCCTTGCTGCTGGCACAGCTGCCCGGGGAGGAGCTGGCTGGGTTGTTTTTGCAGGTGGGGAATAGATGAAGGGGTGCAGAAGGGTGAAGTCCATGGCGTAATCCCTTTTTTTTTTTGCAGGACTGGGTGATCGCCCCACAGGGGTACTCAGCCTACTACTGCGAGGGGGAATGTGCCTTCCCCCTGGACTCCTGCATGAATGCCACCAACCACGCCATCCTGCAGTCCTTGGTCAGTGCAACCCGCGATGGCAGCCCCGGGGGGGACGCTGGGGATCCTGGGGGGAGCGGTCAGACCCCGGCGGGTCCTGATGGAGAAGTGGATTTGGGGCTGGGCATGCTTGCATTTGAGAGCATTTAGGTCGGAGGGTGCGGTTTAGCTCCAGATCCCAATAAAGCATCAGTGGGTGCGTGCACATCTGGATGGGTGCTCAGCCGGTGGGGAAGGGCATCAGGTCACCCATGCATCCTCCTCGCCAGCCGTACACGAGGGTTTCATCCAAGGTCCCACGAAACGCTGCTGTGGCTCAGCACCCAAACATTGGGCTCAGCATATTCCAAGCAGGAAGGCTTTAATGCCCCGTTTTTCCCAAACCCACCCCACATCCCAGCCGGTGCTTTAATTTCTGGAATTTCCTGCCCTGTGAGTGTTTGATTTCCCAATGGCAGAGTCACACCGGCTCCGGTGTTCGCGGTTAATTACAGGGAGCGCCGAGTCCTTGGCCGAGCCTTTGAAGGTGTCACCTGGTGGGGTTTAATTTTTCCATTAACGAACCTGCCAGAGGCCCCTTCCAGGGCTGGGCACGATCCTGGCAGCGGCGGGGAGGGGTCCCCTTCCCCCCCTACACCCACCCATCACCCCTAAACCCAATGCTCTTCCCGAAACGGAGCCATTTGGGCAGGATGTGAATCACCTGGCGCCCGGATCTGGCCCTTCTGGGAAGCGCCGGGGCAAACGTGGCTGGGGAGCTGTGCCAGCCCCAGCCTGTGCTGCAAATAGCAGGGTTTGACAGCAAAAACACCGGACTTCCGAACTGGGAGAGCTCAGCTGCCCCTGCAATAAATTAATCGCACATGTCGGGTAAAGCCAGCAAGGGTTGCGTGCGTCCAGCAGCCTGCGAGCCTCCCAGTTTACGCTGTATAGCAAATTACTGGGATAACGTGCATCCTGAGCAGGGGATGACTGAGCCGAAGGAGAGTCGTGTTGAGAGATGTGTTGTGTTCTTAAGATTTTAGTGCAAGATGTTAAATTTGGGGCAGCACTGAGCCTGGAAGGAGGATCTCTATTTGCAACAGCACCCAGCACCCCCCACCCCCACAGGAGTGAGACCTGCACTGCCCTGATATATTTTTTTTTTAGCCATTTGCCTATTTACAGTGAGAAAAGGGCCCGGAAATCCCAAATTAATGAAGGGGCTGCCTTGCCTGCACAGTGCCATGAGCCCCGCTCCAATATAAACTGCAGCAAGGACTGCCCAGAGTTTAGAATAAATATTTTTGCAAAAAGCTGGAAATAATCTCCTCATTCACCCGGGCTTTTTGCAGTTAAGAGCTGGTTTGATGCTTTTGCTTCTGCCTGGAGCCGCGTTTGCCGGCGCTCACAGGCTTCATCCATCTCCCAGGTCCACCTGATGAAGCCCGAAGCCGTCCCCAAGGCGTGCTGTGCCCCCACGAAGCTCAGTGCCACCTCCGTCCTCTACTACGACAGCAACAACAACGTCATCCTCAAGAAACACCGCAACATGGTGGTGAAATCCTGCGGCTGCCACTGACTGTCGGGTCCCATCCCCATCCCTGAACGTCCCAGCCCGGCTCCACCAGAGCAACGTGACACTGGGTTTCTGCTGCATGGGTGGAAGAGGAGTTTCACGGGCTGCATCATGGCAAAGTCCATTAATAATAATAAATAATAAATAATAAAAATAAATCCCTCCCACCCCTTCCTAGAAGTGGATGTAAATAATATAAAACTTTTATTCTCTGACCGCACTTAATGAGACACATACATATATACATACATATATATAGGGAAGAGAGGATTTGTGGCTGGTTACGTGTCTGTTTTGTTCGTGGCTGATGTGTTTTCCCCTCGCGCTGCTGGCTCACAGGCTGCTGCAGTCTCTGGTGGAGGCAGTTTGGGCTGAAGGGCAATTAGGACACGGGAGGCGGCATCTGAGTTGCTCTGGGATTGAGCTGTTTCTAGCCATGTATGTCTAACTAACGCACCTCTACCCAGCGCTTTTAATTCCCTTAATGAAAACACCGTCAGCCAATTAAGTAGCTGGCTGACTAACCCGCTCCTGTTTACTCAAAGTTCACAAAACTCAGCCAGTTGGAAAAAAAAAAAAAATCCATACTGAGCTATGACACTGTTATAAAATAAACGCCTAGTTTGGAAAGTAAACACGTAGTTTCTCTTGCTCTTTGTTTTTTAATAAATGTCACAGCACAGCAGTGCTCTGTTCGGTGGACAGGATTTCGCAACGAAAAAATACTTGGGGTCGGCTATAATTGTACCTATTTGCTTGAAAACGAGCCCCACCAAACTGTTGTGATGTTGTGAGTTTTAGGTCAGGCTGCGTCTCCCTGGCCGGGAGGGCGGCTGCGCTCACCGGTGGATGCTTCCCGTGGGCTCACAACGGGGCTGCGGCCGCACCAGCCCCAGGCAGCTTCCCTGGGCTATTTGCACAATTAAGTTACTTATTTGCTCCGATTTTAAAAGGAAAGGGCCTGGCCTGTTCCTCAGCTCGGGTGCCTGGGGAACCTTGCGTCACTAAACAAATAACGAACCTGGCTTAGCCAAATGCAAAGGAAAAAATCCCAGTAAACCCACCAAAATAAGAAAGATCTCCCTGCCAATGCACGGCTTCCTGAGAAAAGGTCTCGCTTCTTTGGAAAGATTTTATCTCCTGACTAATTCCATATGAAATCCAGCTCAGGATACGATTATGGCTCTGTGCGACGTGGTGCCTTCAGCAGAGAGAAAGCCCAGGGCTTCCATTGACTCCCCTGTCGAGCGAGGGCTCTCCCTGGTTCAGGTGTTGCTGAAGGTGTCTGCAAGGACCGTCTTCAAAAATTTGAGATATAAACGATAAAAAGAAGTGAGCAAGGAAGGGAAATGCTGGGTTGTTTCCTGTGTTTCTCAGGAGTCACGTCTGAGTGCCCGTATCTCATCTTGTCCCAGTTGTAGGGCAATGCACAACCCCCAAACGGCATGGAAAACCAGCAAGTGCATAAAGGCACCCTGGTTTATTATGGAAAAGCAACACCCCTGATACCTGTGAGCAGCTGGGCTGGCAAAACCGAAAATCGCCAGTTGCACAAGCTCTTAAAAACATTCCCTACACCTCAGCCCCACACACCTGACCCTCCTCTTTGCCCTGGCAGCCCCATCCCTCCTGCCAACGCCTGCACAAGCTCAAAACCCCACATCCCTTCCTCCCCACGATCACACATTCCCAGAAGTACCCAGTGCCATAATTTCATAGAAAACCCCAAATCAATCACTTTCCACCGATGTGGTTACCTTTGTGGTGCACGGCCAGAGCTACCCACTGATGGGAACTATAAATGTACGTGGCTATCCCACTCTGCAAACCAGAGTTCGGAAATTAAACCCCTTCCTACAGCCTCATCACTTTTTTTTTTCCTTCTTCTTCATCACCCAAAAGCCTTCTTCATTTCCTGGTGCTTCTTGTCCAGACCTTGTTCTCCCACTTACACATCCCAGTAAATGCCCTCCTTCTCGGATGGAGATGGAGTTGGACCGGGCTGGCTTCCCAGCAGGACGGCCGCCAGCCAGGGACCTACCTCCCTCTGCTGATGGGAAAGGACACTACAGAGCCAGGGACATGCCAAAAACGCCTCCACGAGATCCTGCTGTGGAAAAAGCATGAGAGATTCGGCTCTGCTCTTCTTGCCCTGGCAAGCTTCCCCTGGAGCCAGGATTTAGGCACTGGATTTGAGAAGATGAGGGCAAATGCAAAAAAAAACCAACAAAAAAAGCATCTTTGCTCAAAAGCAAAGACCATCCTCACATGGTGAGAATTCAACAGCCAGGGGTAGGTCCTCAGTATTTTTAAAACTAGGTTTTATTTTTACCAAACATAAAGTCTTTCCAGAGCACAGCAGCAGAACCGGCACTGCCCTACCCGGGGCAGCACAGGACGGCGCAGGCTGAGAAGCGATTTATACTCAGGTGGGTCAGTCCCCCCGCAACGCTGTCCGCAGGCACGTTCACACCAAGCTTTGCAAGGGAATTTCGAGAGAAGCCGTGGGAGCTTGGGCACTGCCGGGGGGTCGCGGGGCTCTCCCACCCCAGCTGGTTCCCTGGCCCCTCCTGGCCAGGCTCACCCCATCCATCCATCCCTTTCCACGAGCTGAGCTCACGGGCACTCCCCGCAGTCCGAGATAATCACCTTCTGCTTCGGTTTCCCATCTTTGGTGCCCTGAGCCTTTGAGAAAAAGAGCAGTAGGAATTAAAAGCATGAACTCCAAGGGCAGGAAGGTCGGCTCTGACCCAACCGCCCTGCTGCTGGGCACCTACCTCGATCTGCCGCACCACGTCCATGCCCTCCGTCACCTCCCCGAACACCACGTGCTTCCCATCTAGCCAGTCTGTTTTATCGCAAGTGATGAAGAACTGGGAGCCATTGGTGTTTGGGCCAGAGTTTGCCATCGATAACAGCCCTGTGATCAAAAAGTGCAGGGTTACAGCTGGGGAAGGAGCAATGAGCTCCAGCATGTGATTTTGACCCAAACCCATTCCCATGCCCTGCAAAACACTGCCAGTTTTAGGAGAGCCTCTGAATATTAAACTCCACAGAAACTACTGGAAACCAATTATGTCAAGAGAGAAAACACTTGCAAGCATGAAAGATGGAAAGGGGTAAAGATTCCTCATCTATTTTTAGTTGCAGTAATAGAAAAGCTGTTTGTAGGAAGATAAATCTGTTTGCTTTTTGCTGCTTTTCATAGTCACGCTGTGACATTCCTCCTTTAAAATCAAACAGGAAAGCAGCTTTGAAACTCTTTCTCCGTTATGTAATACTGGAAATAAACGCTGCGTGGATGGAAAGCAAACGATGCATCTCTGCTTGCTCAATGCCAGTGATATGCAACAGTCTGACACCGCAGAAGCATTTGGCCAATGTAGATTATCATTCAGGGCTGCTACTATCAACGCAATCTAGGTGAAAACAGCCCAAGTGTGGCCTCTAGATGATGTTGAGCCATTTTGCTCTCCAGCCCCTGCCCGGGGAGACGGGTCTACCTGGCCCCGTGTGTTTGAGAATGAAGTTTTCATCATCAAACTTCTTCCCGTAGATGGATTTGCCCCCGGTGCCGTTGTGGTTGGTGAAGTCGCCGGCCTGGCACATGAACTGGGGGATGATGCGGTGGAAGCTGCTCCCTTTGAAGCCGAAGCCTTTCTCGTGGGTGCAGAGGCAGCGGAAATTCTCTGTTTGGGGGCAAAGAGGAGAGAGGTGAGAGCTGCGTCGCAGCTGGAAGCCACCACCCTGGGGAGACTGACCTTCTCCTCACCTACGGTCATGGGCACGACATCTGATCGGAGGAGGATCTGCAGCCGCCCCGCAGGTTTGTTTCCGATCTTGATGTCCATGTAAACCTGAGGGTTGACGCGGGTTTTCTTGGCAGGAGGCTCACCCTGGGCAGGAAAAGAAAAAAGCAAGTTGAGATGACATTCCTCTGCTCTGCCTCCAGAGATGGCTGGCCCCATGCTCTCTCAGCCTTTGGAACAGCAAGGATACAGATGACTCTGGTTGTTTTTCCTACCTCCTGCACCTCTGCTTTGGGGGCCTCTGTTCCCCCTTCCTCTGCGTTCTCCTCCAAAGTTTTCCCCGAAAACTTCTTCAGCCAGTCATCGTCCGACCAGACTGCGACAGCAAAATTAAGGGTCAGAGCACAGGAACCAAACCAAAGGGCCACGCGTGAGCATGCACATGGCAGCACAGGTCAGGGCACTGCACAATGCTGCCAGCAGGATCGCAGCCGAGACATGGGAGCACTCGGCTGGCAGCCCTACCCCAAAAGACACAGCATGTGGGGAAATAAGGGACAAAGTCATCTCTTCTTCCTCCCAGAGGTGCCACACATCACTGAGTAGGGAAAACTCATGGCCTGTTCGCTGCTGCTACCGCCATGCAGGGCAATTGCTCGGCACAGCCTTGGCCCCATCTGCTTTTACAGATGTGGCCAGATGTGTGGGTAATTTTGCCTGGCATGCGTGTTTGTGCGTGCTGTGCCCTCTGTCAGAGGGCACGAAGGCAATCAGAAGTGCAGCTAAGAGTGTTTCCATCCAAGGAATTGGGGAATATTTTTGGTTATTTGGTTATTAAGATGCTGCTCAGATCCTCGAGATCCCGAAATGGGAGGCAGAGCAGAGATCTCTGCCTCAGGGTCTGGGAAAGCAGAAAGGCAGATGCATGAAGCTCTGAACATCCACGGGGATGTTCTCCCCTCTCAGGCACCAACTCACCAGGCCTGGATGATCCTTCTTTAATTCGCATTGGTTTGGCCAAGTTCACACGAATTGTCCTGCCAAAGAGCTCAGACTCGTTCTGCAGAGGAAAAAAAAGCAGAACAAAGCCCACCAAAAGGTAAAAAAATCACTGTGCCCCCCAAAATCCCTGCAGAGGTCAGGGGAAAACAGAGATCGCTTTCTCCACGTAGCCCACGCCACACAGAGCCTCGCTCCATGCTACTGGGAAGACGGCAGAGCCATGCATCTCCGCGGGCGAGCGGGAACAGGGTC